TCGGAAGACGATCGTCTTTAAATCGGAAGACGATCGTCTTTAAATAAGAAGACGATCGGCTTTAAATCGGAAGACGATCGTCTTTAAATCGGAAGACGATCGTCTTTAAATAACAAGCCGATCGTCTTTAAATAAGAAGACGATCGTCTTTAAATCGGAAGACGATCGTCTTTAAATCGGAAGACGATCGTCTTTAAATAAGAAGACGATCGGCTTTAAATCGGAAGACGATCGTCTTTAAATCGGAAGACGATCGGCTTTAAATCGGAAGACGATCGGCTTTAAATAAGAAGACGATCGGCTTTAAATAAGAAGACGATCGACTTTAAATCGGAAGACGATCGTCTTTAAATAAGAAGACGATCGTCTTTAAATAAGAAGACGATCGTCTTTAAATAAGAAGACGATCGGCTTTAAATAAGAAGACGATCGTCTTTAAATAAGAAGACGATCGGCTTTAAATAAGAAGACGATCGGCTTTAAATAAGAAGACGATCGGCTTTAAATAAGAAGACGATCGTCTTTAAATCAGAAGACGATCGGATTTAAATCGGAAGACGATCGTCTTTAAATCGTCCAAAACACAAGTGTGAGAGGAAACCAGTAAAAAGTACAATGTTCAGATACAAAGTTACAGCTTTTACTTCATATCGATACGTTCGATATTAATTTAAACCAAAGCTTAAAATCAAAATAAATTCTGACAATTGATCCACTTCAACATCAAATACGTTAAAACATTTGATTAATCTTGTGATTTAATAAACTTTCCCTTGATTTGAACTGGGCCCAGCTGCATGAACTAAATGTGCGCTGCTCTCTGGACGCCGTTCGGTTCCTGCAGGAGGTTCTGGCACCGTCTGCTTTAGACCCTCACCCTCTCGTGCACGGGGGACACCTGGTCCTCCTCGGTGTTGCAGGGCGACGTGTCGCCGGTCGGCACCCTGCTGACGGCCATCTCAGCGTGGCCCTTCCCCTGCGGCCCCTTCATCCTCACAAACTCCATGTTGTTGTACTTGTAGAAGCCGAAGGACATCCGCTGCGCCATCTTCGCGGCGACGCTCACCTGCAGCGCACACAAACATCGGACCGTCGATCTGGGTCAGCCGTCTGCGGCTCAGAGCGCCGCCAGGCTGAGACAGGACTCCAAACATTCAGAAGACTCCTGAAAAACTATAAAAAAAACGAGAACGGCCTCCTGCTAACATGTAGCTAACATGTTGCTAACATGTTCTCAACTTCCATAACTAACTCCAAACATTATCTGACAGGAACGAACAACAAAGATGGCGACAGAAGCAAACTAATAAACAGAATTTAGAATTTGCTAATTTACTGATCACTTTACTAGCAAACTGCTAAAATAGCTATTGGTATATTAGCAAACGGCTAATATAGCTAAGAGCTTACTGTCACTGCTTCAGCTGGTTATTGTTGTTGATTGTGTCTGAATATGATGCTTCCAAACTGCAGGTACACGTTCACCGGTACATGTTTGTTGGCTTTAAGCACACGGAGGCCATATTGGATTTTGAAGTCAGGGCTGGTGAGGCGTCTCGACTTCAGGGCGCTAACTGCTAGCAGGGCTAATAGTGAGCTAACACATGGTTAGCGCGCCGCTAACAGCCTCGGCACGGTGGCTGGCGTCTCTCACCCGGTTGTCGTAAACCTTCTTGAGCGCCTCGTAGCGGATGGAGCCCTGGAAGATGACCCCCTGGAAGGTGTTGCTCTTGTCGCTCGCCACCAGCTCCACACACACCATCTCACCTTCCCCCACCGTCATGTCTCTGAACACCTGAACACACACAGGTCCGAGCGACTGTAACTAAAGTGATGAACTTCATCAGTAGCTTCATCTGAGGCGCTGCAGCTGAGCAGCTGCTCGTGTGGAACAGCAGGTTGTAGAGCAGGAGAGGAGCACGTCCAGCTTCATCAGAGGAGACGTTCAGATTACCATCATCACAGCGATCCAGTCTGTCTGGATTAACTCGCCCGTCTGGATTAACTCGCCCGTCTGGATTAACTCGCCCGTCTGGATTAAGTCGCCCGTCTGTTTGCTCCGCCCAGCAAAGACTTCCTTGTTGGTAAAAAGAGCTTCAGAAGAACGACAGAAGATATTTGTCTGATACACGGTGAGAGAACCTTTATCTTCTGAAGACTGGCGTCTCTTTCTGAACAGATTCATGGAACATTAGTTAGAAAAGTCCCTGAAACTTGTCACAGGTTCATACGCTCGCATTAATTCTGTTTCCTGTCTGCGCAGGAAGTCGTCAACAGCTGAAATAAATAAAACTGTCCACAGACCTGAAGAGGCCTCTGGGGTCAGACTAAGGTCTACCTCCTCAAAGTTGTCGATCATGAAGAAGATGTTGGGGTAGCTCATCTTGGACTCCTCTCCTTTGCTGTCCATGGCGTGTTTACTGGGAGACGCAAACACCTCCTGCAAGAGGAGGACGAAGGACACGGTGGACACACGAAGACAAACAGCTGAGAGGACGGCGGGCCTGCGTTCCTACCTGACACTTCTTCTTGTGGATGTGAATGTCTCCGGCGTCTGAGCGCGTGCACACAGCGCACGTGACCACGTAGTCCAGCTGGAGGACAGCAGATCTGAGGTCAGGGAGGGGCCGCTGAAGACAACATTAAACTCACAGCCGGACGTCCAACCAGGAGACAACGTCAAACTAAACGCAAACAGCCGAATGTGCCAACTAAACCCAAACAGCCGAATGTGTCAACTAAACCCAAACAGCCGAATGTGTCAACTAAACCCAAACAAAACAGCCGAATGTATCAACTAAACCCAAATAAAAACAGCCGAATGTATCAACTAAACGCAAACAGCCGAATGTGCCAACTAAACCCAAATAAAAACAGCCGAATGTGCCAACTAAACCCAAACAAAACAGCCGAATGTATCAACTAAACCCGAATGAAAAACAGCCGAATGTATCAACTAAACCCAAACAAAACAGCCGAATGTGCCAACTAAACCCAAATAAAAACAGCCGAATGTATCAACTAAACCCGAATGAAAAACAGCCGAAT